TAATGACAATAGTAAGGATTGGGAAAGAAAAGGCAGCAGTTCCCTGTTGCATATCAGGCACAGTTATGAGCGTGACATGATGAATCAGTCCATTTACAACTCTACTGTGCTTGAACGAGAAATGCCCCCCCCCCCCTTTTGGGAATGGCTTAAAGACACCACAGTCAATGGCACTGCCCTGGGGGGTAGGGGATCATTAACGTGCGCAAAAAGCGCACGGGACCTCCGAGATTTTTCGCCCTTGTCCAAGAAGACTAGGTGTAGAGTTTTGCTACCATAAGATCAGGGGTGTGGCTGAAAGACAGCAGTAAGAAGGAGCCAAGAAGTAGCAGTAGAACGGCTTTAGAAAGAGTCATGAGGGGCGTAGAGGAAGGGCTAAAAGAGGTGAGGGGTCTGGGCAGAAAGTGGAGACGAAAGCAGACGATAGAGCATTGTTAGGGAGCAGGAAAGGATGTGAAAGGAATTTTTTTTTTTTTGTTTTAGAGAAGAAAATTGTACATGGCTATCCGGCTGCGAACCCATGACCTACTGAATGAGAGGCGAACACCTTAACTTCTAGACCACGAGACCCCTCTTGGACAGTTGGCCGTTAAAGCAGGTTCGACTGTATCTGTAAACTGTGGAGGCCTTCACCTCTCAAGATAATAATATCTCAACGTTGGCGTTATCAGCTAATGCGTATCCGTAACAAAGTAAGAAGAAGGGTTTTCAAAGTTGTCTCAAGTACACCTTCTCCGCAGCCCTCAGATTCAACAACCCAACACGTGGTTAGATATTGACACCACACCGACAAACTGTTCAGATGTACTATTAAGCCCTTTTTTCCTAGGCTGCAGTTTCTTAAATCTGTGGAATCGGTTGCATGTGCATGAGAAACATTTTGTCTTAATTTCAATTTTAAAATTTTGAAGGGGCAATAATACATTTAAAATGTAGATCTAAGCACAATTAACATATAATTATTATCTTCTCGTGAAAAGCCTGGGGATCCCGAAGGGTTAGCCGTGGGCACTCTTTTGTAAGAACACTACATTCATTTAGGCCTACACACAGTTCTCATGGCACTTAAATTACTACAACTCAAACATGTGCTCAATCCTCATACAACCAATAATATTACGATTGTTGTCTTAACAAGCCCACCAATTAAAAACAGACTCCACTCACTTTATTCACTAATGGGGTCGGTGACACGCAATTAACTCAAAAATCTGGCCTTTCTATGGGGGGGGGTGCTAGAATACGCGACAAAATCGAGGAAGAAAATACAAATAAATTTGATAATCAAACACAAACAAGTATACTTATGATTATTCTTATTCGCAATATACTTTTGTTGTTCCGTTTTATGTTGAAATATCATTGTGCTGACCCACATTCGCCCCCTCCTAAACGATCTAAATATTGTCGATCGATGTATAAAACATCTCTTTTTTCCTATTAAAAGGAGAAGGGATCGTGATCTGAATACAACGTCTGAGCCTTTGTTTCTCGACACAAGATTTCATTAGAAATCAATATAATTTACTTCATTATAATTAATCATATAGGATCACCTCGATTCGAACCGGTGTATTCATCGAAATTTAGACGTTGGCTATGCAATTCTGTGTTTGCAAGACGGTAGGAATAATTACATCATTAAAATAATAATAAATTACAATTTTATTGATCCCAGAAGGACAATTTGGTTTACAATGACAAACATTATATATAGATTCTACATACTTACATACTTATCATTATAGTCACACACACACACACACACACACACACACACACACACACACACACACACACACGCACACACACACACACACACACACACACACACACACATACACACACACACACACACACACACACACACACACAGCGCGCATACACACATACACACCCGACGTACATACATAAACACATACATAAATACACAATATTACACCAATACAGAACAATTTCACAACCATGCCATTACTGGTCGCCAGTGGGGACCCTCAGACACCTTCAACGTACATTATTGTTTAAGAATTGTTCCAAAAAGAATGACAGAGGGGGGGGGGAAATTCATCAGGCCTACCTACATACTAAGTTAGTCTACCATTGCATCGATGGGTTGGAGAAAAGAGAGCGCGATAAAGTCGTCAAATAAGTCTCCTGTTATACCACCTTAACAGGTGAGAAGTGTATTTAGTTGGACAGAGTGAAGAGGATTTGGACACAGGGAGACTTCGGACACGTGAATTCCGCTAAATTATTCATAGAACACATTAATTGGCCTACACTGAACGTGCCAAACGAAGCTTAGCCCACTGAGCCCGCTGTGTTTTTGCTTCACCAATGCGAGAAACTTTGCGTCTGCTGTGAAGGAAATTGTTTTCGACTCGGGTGCATGAAAGTCTACATGTCTTCTTACCTTGGTTTGTAAGCTTTAGGCTATACGTCACAAAATTGCTTCAGTCTTTTCCCTAAACCATGTCACGTATCAGTGCCTTTGAGTGTCTGTTGCGTACCAAATTTATAAAATTGGACCAAGCTTTCAAGGTTGTTTCATAATATGTGTCCGACATTATTCCCATGTAAGGAGACTTCGGCCAGGGGGTGGGGTAACTTTGTACACTGTCCGAATGTCTCTCAGGACCACTGATTTATCGTGTTGCTGTTGTGTTGGTATTTTTGCACAGACTACAACCATGCCAAGGGAATAGTACAGGCCTAGTGCTCCCGAAAGTAGAGAGCCTTTTAAATTCAGAAAATATGAAACTCGCCGTGCATGTAGCAGATATTGCATTTGTGTATGTTGTGGGCGAGAATGTAGCCTATATAATATATCATACAATGTGAAGAAATCTCCTCTGAAAGACAATTTCAGTTTGCCTTTAACATTGAAATGCTGAGCATCTGTGGAGACAAACGTAAGAAATGTCACGCCTCTCCTCTTTCTCTCTCCTACTATACCCATCCGTGTTGTGCCCCACTTCAACTTGACTAGCTTGTGGTTGCCCTGACGGGTAAGACCGAAACAGCCCGCCTCCTAAATGATTGAAATAATGTGAATGCGGAAGTATATTTGGAACCATTAAAGGGAACCATTACAGGCTGCAGGAAAATGGAAGCAAAACTTAGTACAAATGAAGCTGCGAGTTGTGTTTGTATATGTCGGGCCCTGGGGGGTCCTTTCCTAGTAGGGAACGTGGAGGCGGAGTTCGGAGTACGCATCAATCATCCATCCATCCATCCATCCATCCATCCATCCCTCCGTCCATCTATCCATCGTCCCATCTCTATCTATTTATCTCACAGGACTCAGAACTGACCTGGACCAACAACTCATGGCCACAGTTTACAGGATGCTTCCAGAACACAGCATTGTTGCTCACACCATGTGCTGTGCTGTGGGTCATGACACCATTCTACATCCTCGGATTGTTACGATCAAAAGAGGTTTCAAGACCTTTGGGATTTTTGTTTTGCGCAAAACAGGTATGGTGAGAGATTGTGAATAAATAGTTGTAGTGAGCAGAATACTTTTGTGCAAATGCAACAAAAGAGATTGGTGGGAGTAGTGGTGTTTGTTCATGCCATTGGATTTAAGAAAGTGAGAGAACAACAACAACAACAACAACAACAACAGCAGCAGCAACAACAACAACAACAACAGCAACAACAACAATAACCACTACACCAACAACAACGAAAACAACAATAGAAAATGAGGATGGTGGGAAGGGTATAATAGGAGGAGAGGAGGCAGAAAGAGATAGAGAAATCAACAGTTGAGAGAAGGTAGGAAGTTAGCAAGAGAGCTGACTTATTTCACTTTGAATTAAATTGCATACTACATCAAGGAGTAAAATTGAAAAAAGAAAAACTTGTTATTAAGAAGCAGACCACAATTGAAGACAAAGAATGGAGAAAACCTGGATATTGATTGTAAAGTCACCTGTTCTTCTTGTTATGTAATATTTTTGTGTGTTTGTGTACGTTTGATAAAATGACAAACGGAACTTACTCTTTGCAATTTGAAAAACGCTTTTAAATCATTGTAAAAACAGAAGTGTAAATTCAATTATCCGTATGTAAAATAACAAATAAACTGGTTGAAAACTATAGTAATGAATATTTGACATGCCCATCAGCAAAGTTTTGATAATTTTCGGGAGGGCAAGTATAATTCAGTCTGTTAGGGCTAAACTGGAAGCAGAAGAAGAGATCAAATATTCGATTCAACAAACTTCTCTTCACGAGAACTAAATAGTAAGAGTCTACTTCCGCCCCCACCGTTCTTGAAATAATATGGTAAAAGCATTTTTTGCACATGATGTCACACTAACCCACATGTGACAATAACAATAACACAAACCTTTCCTCTTCACTTGTTGCAGTTCTGCGGTTTAGTGACGGGGTTACTTGCTGCATTTGACCTTATAAAAGCGGCAAGCAGTTCAGAGGGATTTAATGATGAGTGCCTTTCTTCACTGATTTGGATCCTTACATCAGTAAGTCATGTTTTTCTCTTGGTTGTATCTCAGGCATCAAAAGGGCTGTAAAAGACAGCTCTGATAAGCACGGAGGTCAAAGGGATTGTTATATATTTTCTCTATTATTGGAGAGAATGCCTTGCTCAACTTCATTGATACTTCGGGAATGCACATAAATGCATGTGTGTGTGTGTGTGTGTGTGTGCGCGTGTGTGTGTGCGTGTGCCTGAGTGTGTGTGTGTGTGTGTGTGTGTGTGTGTAGGTGTGCATGTGCATGTGTATGTATTGTGTGTGTACGTGTGCGTTGTGTGTGTATTGTTTGTGTGTA